TCCTGTCTCTGGGCTGCAGGAACCTGCAGCAGCCCGGGACTCCCCATCTGCGCTGTGTTCTCAGAGACAGCAGGGCCCGAACAGGCTGAGGGTCAGTCCAGGAGGCCCGTCCTTCATCCTGCCTGCCCACTTCGCTCTCTGCCAACTCTGGCCTAACCCCTCATCTCTTCACCCTGGAATCATCATAGTCCTATCAGCCAATACTCTCTGGAGCTCTCATCACTTCCCTATTAACTTTTTTTTTTTTAATATTATCCCAAGAGTTCAAATGGGTTTGGTTTTTGATTCCCACTCTACAGGGGGAAACTTGTTCCAAATCACAGTCAGTAACTGGCTCAGCTTTCTTTATATATATTAACTTCACCCAAAACCCTTAAATTTCTTCCCCAGGAAATTCTGACTTCAAAAACTTTTAATGGGGCCTCCCTGGTGATGCAAGGGTTAAAGTCTCAGCATTATCAAGCTATTGCCAGCTACTGTGGCACGAGTTCAATCCCCAGACAGGGAGCTGACCCACAGGGCGCAGCAGACCTCTCCTGTCTCACCCGCTGCTCCCCTCAGCAGTGTATTTCAGTAGATCCGCCTGTTCTGCTCCCTCCTCTGTCTGGTGAATCCTCTCACCCTCCTGTACCTCTGGCCTGCACCCCAGTTCTTGTATGCATAAACAAAAAAAGAAACCCTTAATGAAAGCAGTACACTGTTGGTGGGTATGAAAACAGTATGGAGATATCTCAGAAGATTAAAACCACCACATGATGCAGCAACTCCACTCCTAGACATCTGCCTGAAGAAGCAAATATACTGATGTTGCAAAGGAGCAGTATAAGCAGAGGGATACCCCCTTCCTGGGGGTGGTACACCAAACCCACCCCGGCCTCTCCACTTGGGCACGCATTTCCCTAGCTGCTCCTTTGGACCAGTTCTTAGCCATCTTTCATCATCCCAACATGGCCACCCACTCTGTAAACCTTTTTTGAGGTGACACAGGCATCGTGACTCCCCTAGTGGGCACGTCTCCCCAGCTCTCATCTCTGTACCACTAACACATGCCCTGCCCACCTCCCCGCCGAGTCTTCAGGAACTCCCACGAGTGGGCACTGTGCTCCCCAGGCCCATCAGTGGTGGGAAGGGTTGAAGAAGATGGGGAGGTCGGGAGGCCCCAAATAAAGGGGGAGCCCTGTGACAGGAGCCCAGAGGCAAGAGGGTCAGCGTGCAGGTTTGGGAGGGGGCTTTGGGGTGGAGCTGAGCAGGGACCCGCTCTGGGAATGGCCAGGGGCTGGGAAGGCATGGCAAGGTGGGGCCAGAGGTGCAAGGAACTTGGGGGCTGCAGGGAGGGGATCCAGCGTTTGACCAGGTTGTGATGGAAAGAGCAGAACAGTTCAAACCTGACGCTAGAACCCCCAGGACCAGCCCGAGGCTGGAGGCATGCAGACCTCTGGTCACTGACACAGAAGCCTGTGCAGCCTCTGACCCCGAGGACTCGGGGCCACGTCCCAGGCGGGGGCTCTCTAAATACAGACTTGGTGGCGTCAGCTGAGCAAGACGGGGAGAGAAGTGCAAAGGTTAAATGCAGTTTCTGACGCTTTCACTTGTCATTTTATTTCAGATAAGGGAGTTGTGACATCTGATCTTTTAAAAACAAATTAAACACTCACACACAGAGACAAAATGAGCAAGATAGAGCCCAGGAGGTGGGGAGGAAAGCAGAGTGGACTCAATTCTGATTTGTGGTCGATGCCGAGTGCGTGACCCTTTATAGCTGCTCTCTATCCCTTTTAGCTGAGGATGCCAAAGGCTAGAGACAGTATTTAACTGGGATGGCTAAAGCTCTCGGGCACTAAGGGTGAGCCCAGGAGGCAAAAAGCTCAGTCTTGCTAGCACAGAACAGCAGGTGCCTCTACCTGGAGACCAGGCACTCGCCGGCCACCTGTGTGCAGCCAGCTCAGGCCAGGAAGCAACAAATAATGCAGCAGCCAGCGTGGCGCTCCTTCTCCAAAACACAACTCAAAAGAGGGCCGCTGGGGAGGCAGGACCCTCCCTCATCCCCCACATGCCCAAGGCTAATTCCAAGAACCTGTGATTAAGGGACGGGGGGGATTATCCAGGTGGGCCCAATCTAACCCTAAAGAACCTAAAAAGCTGAGAACTTTTTTTTTTTTAAAGATTTATTTTATTTATTTATGCGTACAAGAGATGGGGTGTAGGCCAGTGGTGCTGGGGGTGAGAGGATTCACCAGAGACAGAGTGGGGAGCAGAACAGGAGGATCTACTAAAATACTCTGTTGAGGGGAGCAGCGGGGAGACAGGAGAGGTCTGCTGCACCCTGTGGGTCAGCACCCTGGCCGGGGAAGGAATTCCTGCTGCAGCGGCTGCGGATAGCTTCACAGTGCTGAGACTTAATCCCTTGCACCACCAGGGAGGCCCTGAGACCTTATCTGGGTTGCAACCAAAAGAGATGAAAAAGCAGGGGAGAGATGTGGAGCAAGAGAGGGCCTTGACCCACCATTTCTGGCTTTCAAAGTGAAGGGATGAAGCACCTGGGCCTCAAGCCTGGGGGGACCCACACGCCACAGGGACGAGTCACTTCTGTTGCTAAAGTTGACAGAGTCAGGCCGTTTTGTTATGTCGGTGCGAGAAAACGAAGACAGCCCGTCGGCGCAACTTACATGTGCCTGCGCCGTGTGTGCCTGCGTGCGTTTATTTCTGCTTCACCAGTTATCTGGGTTTATTCAGAAACAACGACGAAGCAGTTGGGAGAGCACAGTCTCCCGGTGAGACACGTGTGCTTTTTTTCTCTTTTATAGATGCAGACAGACATCACTAGAGGCAGGAGAAGGTGGCTGAGGGCCCTGGAGTCTACTGCAGATGGTGGGGATAAAACCGTGGGGGCTACTGAGAAAAAGGGTGCTGTCCTCCAAGCCTCCCAGGGCAGCCTTGGGGTGAACTGCTTTGAAGAGCAAAGTGGGTGGACAAAAATGCAGTTCTGCCCTCAAGGGGGAAGAAAACGATCTTCATTCCAGGAAAGAAGACCAACATCGTATTCACAGGGTTTATTTTTATTGGGCAATTTAGCGATCAGATTTAACATCATCATCATGGAAAGGGGGGCATGGAGAAAACACTTTGAAAAGTCTCTGCTTTTAAGGCCCCTTGGATAGTTTTGTTTTGCTCCTAATTTACTCACTTTTTTCTTTGGCTTGAAAATGTGCAACAAGAACCTGCATTTAAAGGACTGGAGAGTATGACTTCTGAAATACTCCCCTGCAGCAGACACACACCAAGAGACACATGAAGACCCGCTTCCGTTTTACCATCCACCAGAGCAGGCAATTTCTAACAAGAATAGCATTTATTTTACAAGCATTTATTACCAGGCACCGGGCAATATACTTGGGTGGGGAAAGACAAAAGCCAGACCTGGACAAAGCTAGCAAGGCGAGGGCTGTGGGAGCAACAGGTCTGCAGCCACGTGCACAGCCTAGAACTCAAAGCTCTGGTGCCTCCAACCACCACAACACAACATTGTACGTCAATGATATATACGTACGTCATACATGTATACACATGTATGTCATAAAACTGGTGGAGGAGATGAGCAAGTGGAGCATGATCATCAGGACTAGAGTTGAAAACTGCAAAAATCAAAATCAAACAGGTAATAAAAAACCCCAGGCACAGCTCCTGGCAGCCCAGATGTCCATCTGAGAAGTGGGTTTCCATGGACAGGAGGGGGTTCGCTTGGAGGTGGGAACAGAGGGAGACAGGACGTGGTGCCAGCCCAAGAGAAGAATAGGACACGGAGCCACTTGCGCAGAATCATCTGAGAATGGTACCTTTTCTGAAGAACATATGGAAAACATTTTAATCTAAAGACTTAGTGTAAGCAAGCCTGGAACTACAACATGATTGAATTTCTCTAGACAGGGCTGTTTGAAAACATTTGGCAAACATTAGGTCAATCTGGCAAAAATGACACTTTCACAATGTAAAAAGAAGGCAAATAAACATACTTCTTTTTTTTCTTTAAACTGAGGAAAATTAAGCATTAAACCCACAAATATGGCATTCCTCTTCTTTCCAAGCCCTGGTCTCTGGTCTAAGGGGAGATAAATAGGAGAACCCTGAATGCCGTTTAGTGGGTCCTGAACTCAGAAAGTACCTACTAGCTGTTGTCAAGGTTGATATTATTATTCGTTGAAACTGCAGATGCCTGGGCAAAGTTTTGAAAGAACAAAAGTCATTAAAAGATCAAGGGCCTTTCCAATATTAAAATTTGGGGTTTATGGGAAAAAAGGATGAATTTGAACTTCGCACACAAAAAACAAGCCAACTTACACTGTTACCCTGGTTTATGATAAAGACTTGCAAACAGGCAGGTGAGAAAATCTACAGGCCAATCAGCCTGGACAGGATACGTAAGTGATGCATTTTCATGTCAAAAAGTGGTTCTAATAGAAGTGATTTTGAAATATTACTTTATGATAAAGGTACAGTCACATTTCATAAAAGTCGAAAGAACTCTGGAGAGCTGCTTTGTAGGGACCTATCTCCATTCAGAACAGCAAGCAAGAACCCTGCAAATAAGAAACATGGGTTCCTTTGAATGCAAATCTCCCCCTGGATGGGATCCAGAGATGCAGAAAAAAGTGAAAATTCATAAAAAGAGAAAAAGCAAGACATTGAGAAAAAAGTTCAAGCTCAGATTCATTGTTTGTAAAAATCACCCAACCACTCCAAGTGACATCCTTATGGAAGGTATCACTTAGAATCAGAAAGCTCTTGCAAGAACCAAGTCAAATTACCCTTTGATATAAAGTAATCCCCACTAATAAAATCAAGGCAATAAACACGAAACATGATTTGTGGAATCTCTTTCTGAGTTGGCAAAACACCTGAAAACAGTTTTACCGAGTCAAGAGGTTTTCCAAAGGCAGGAAATACTTACTGAAAATGGAAATAAACATTCCCTCAAACTTGGAAGGGGAACAGGAAGCACTTACGTAGATCTGATTCCTCTTATATCGCTGGTGTAAGTTGTGCATGATGGCGCCCCCGTGGAGCTCTGTCAAGGCGGCCATGTCGTCCACACCCTCCTCGTTCATGGGGTGCATGGGTGTCACCTTCTGCTGTGTGATCGTGCTCTGCTTGTACGTGAACACCTGGGGGGAAACATGCAGTTACTTATCAGCCGTGAGTAGTTTGCACAGCCCCTTCCCCAGCTCACAACACAAACAACCTCAGGGTCATTTCAGTAATAAGAGCCTCTATCAACCATTTAAAATACTGCAGAGATTTTTTTTTTTTCATTTCCTTGTTCCCTTTATCTGGTTTGAAGGAGACAATTATTTTCTTTTTTTTTTTTAAAGATTTATTTATGTATGCATACAAGAGCTAGGGTGGAGGCCAGAGGTGCAGGGGGTGAGAGGATTTACCAGAGACAGAGCGGTGAGCAGAACAGGCAGACTGACTGAAACACACTGCTGAGGGGAGCAGCGGGTGAGAAAGGAGAGGGCTGCTGCGCCATGTGGGTAGCTCCCTGGCCGGGGATCGAACTCATGCTACAGATAGCTTGATAGTGCTAAGACTTAACCCCTGCGCCACCAGGGAGGCCCTGAGACAATCATTGTCATCATTACTATTAGATGTCCTCAAAGACACTAGTTCAAGTGCTAAACATCCTTTGGTAAGCACAGAAACTCATATGCTTACTATTCACTTCTCTGCCTATTTCTCCAATTGATATAAATCACTGTTAGTTAGGAAAGTGGAGAACCAAGCGTCTAGGAAATAATTAGGTACACAACATCATGTTTCACACAGAATCAGAGGATATATTTCAAAGCTTAATGATAAAGTTCTTCAACTGAAGTGTTATATAAGTTCACATTTATTCAAAGATTGGAACACATCTGCCCAACAGTGTTTGAAATCTATCCTTGGACACGCCCTGCCCTGAGCTGGAATCTTTGGGCAAAGCAAATCCCCTCTCAGATTGAAATACAATCAGTTTCTTTGTTTGACAACCTGCCACATGTACAGGGACAACGTACAGGCCACATGTACAGGGACAACGTCGATAGGGTGGACTGATGACTGGATTTAGCATACATTTCTACAATCCACGCATTGATTTTCTCACCACTGATTTGGTATTGGCAGGACCACATCGACCCAACCTCAACCGCCAACCAGGTGGCCAGTTTTCTATACAAACTGTGTAGTATCCATAGCATCCAAAGATGCGGTCTATTCCACATTTATTCATTTTATACTTTTATTACAATCTGTTAAAATAAACACCAAGATGTAAGCAGCAAGAGTCTGAATAATATGCTGGGGTGACCATGTCACTTTCTGGGAGAGACGCGGGGCCAGTGGCTGCAGCTCTGGGCCGGGCTGGCCAGGGCTCCCCGGCGGAGGCAGGGGGCTGAGCCAGACACTGGCCAGCATAGAGGTAGCTGCTGGGCTTCCCATTGCTCCAGCAGGATCTGCATCCAGGAAGCCCATGGAGCCTCAAGTGAAACAAACTTTTCAAAGGCCAGCAGAATCTGCCTCCAGGCCAATCCAGAGGTGGGCCTGAACCCCAAATGACCAAGCAGGAAGCAGCATCAGTACTAAGCACATGACTTGCTGCCAATAAAGGGAAGGGGGAGGTGTGCATGGACCCACGATGCTTTACGTCACCCCGCCCAGGGAGGACATCCGCACAGAGCAGCCAACAGCAAGGAAGGGAAGCTGACGGTGTTCTAGGAGGGTAAGAGAATTGAAATGCAGTGCACAGTGAATTTCAAGTTCTTATTAGTGGATGTGTAGGAATGCCAACTTTTTATAAGAAAATGCCTCAAAGCCACAAGTTTTTAAAAATTATTTAACACAACTACATCCAAGGCTCGGTATATAGTCTCTTCCTTTACATGTGAGGATTTTTCAATCAGATTATATATAAATCAGCATAGTGGGAGATAAATAATAATTGTGGGTGAATACAGCCCATTTGAATAACAAAAGTAACATGAAAGCCATATGATCTTCAAATGCACACACACACACACATACAACTTCCTACAATAACATTTGCAGAACTTGATGATTGGCGATTCTGTTTTAAAAGGTTGACCAGTTGCCTACATGGCAACAGCTGGGATGTTATTGCAAGAAGAGAATGACACACTAAGCACAGCCAAAGTGCCAGCCCGATGGTTTTCATAAGCCGGGAAAAATGGCATGTTTTATTTTTCTAGAGAAAAACTAAAACCTCAGCAGTGGCATTTCTGCCCTAGGAACCGCAAAGAATTGGTCAAGCTCAGTCCTGAGAAACAGCTCCAGGGCAGGGCCAGGCCCACCCATCTTGTGAGGAGCAGCCACATCACCCAGCCGGTTCCTTGGCCCAGACCTCCCACTGCAGACACCAGCCCCACTGGTCCCTCCTCATGCGGGGGCAGGGGAGGTGGGTAGAGAGGGAAGAAGGGGTTACTGGTCATGAGAGCAAGCACAGCCGGCAGGCAGGGGTACTGAGGGAGTGTAGGGGGTGCCACAGCCAGGAATATGGGGTGTTATGGAAAAATTCACAGGACATTCAAGACTGTGGAAACACGTAAGATGCTGACCTTTTAATCGAACTCACCCACACCATGGGAAAAAGTTAAAGAAACAGACTTAGGCTAGGAGGAGAGGTACCCTTGAGGACACCTGGAAAATTCGAGACGTGAAACAGCTGAAACTCTCTGCACTTCTGCCTGCCCGATGCCAACCCATGCAGGTTTTCCAGAAACAATGCCACTGGGTAAACACCGCTCTTCCATCCACAGTGACCGTGAGAGCAGGGGCAGAGGCAGAGCTCAGCTGGTTGGGAGCTGCAGGGCAGCTGAGCAGGAAGGGACCGGCCCCCCACTGCTCCCCAACCTGGGCAAGCTGGACGCTCTGCCGGCTCCTCGAGGTCCCAGGAAAGTGTTCTCATGGCAAAGAGGACAGAACACTGACTGTCACCTCCTGCTCACCCCTGCGATCACACCATCAGCAAATCCTCCCCAAGGCGAAAACAGACAAATTCTCTACTGTGGTCTGAGGACACTTAGAATTCTAGAATTTGAAGATAGAAATAATTTAGGATCCTAAACTTTGTATTAATATTGATTCTTCCTTTTGGAACAAATCACACGTAACATACAATGCTCAGACACTAATATATAGTACATGTGACGTGTGTGTACATTTGTATGTACATGCACACATGTAAATGACTAAGTATTTAATCCCACGGTGGGGGGGGCTCTCACTGTGCTTTTCTCAGGCCCTGGGAGCAGCGAGACGATGTATGACCCCAGCAGGTGGCTCAGGGCAGGGCCACGGCCACTGGCTGGCCTGGGAAATGCCCATGAGGGAAAAGCTGGACAGCCCCTGCTCAGAAATGGGTCAGATTCTGTGAAGATCTTCGAAGGCATCTCATAACTTGATGGTGCTAAGTAGATTTATTAACTAAACAAATCTCCCCATTTAAGCAAGATTTGTGGGTGCATCTGAGGCACTGGGATACAGTTTACATTTGAAAAAGGGGTAAGGGGAAAACCAGTACACGGACATACATGCTCTGTGGGTGACGGTGAAGGATGTCTGTGAAGACACAGACAAGGCGCCCAGAGGGTCACTTTATATTAGGGATTTGGAGCCTGATAGGGTGACAGCAAAGCAGAAACCACAAGGAAATGAGGGACAGAATCAGCCTCCTGCATCTGGGTTTTTTTTTTTTAAAGATTTATTTTATTTACTTATGCATACAAGAACTGGGGTACAGGCCAGAGGAGTGGGGAGTGAGAGGATTCACCAGAGACAGAGTGGGGAGCAGAACAGGCAGACTGACTGAAGTACACGGCTGAGGGGAGCAGTGGGTGAGTCAGGAGAGGTCTGCCCTGCCATATGGGTTGCTCCCTGGCTGGGGATTGAACTTGCGCTGCAGTGGCTGCTGATAGCTTCACAGTGCTGAGACTTAACCCCTGTGCCACCAGGGGGCCCTGCATTTGGGGTGTTAATGCATATCAGTTGAGTAACACCTGATTTAATTTGGCAAGATTTCAAAGGATGAATATGATCCACAATCTCACTTGGGATTTTTTTATGGAGCGCGCTGAGAATATCAAAAGTCATTCCTATGGGCAACAATGAACAGGGTAACATTATTTCCAGAGAAAATTCTAGGTTTAAACAAAAAAAATTCTTTACATTTTTTTCTTTTTTCTTCTTCTTTTTCTTCTTCTAATTTTTTTTTTACATCATTGTTCATTTTTAAAAAATATTTGCTTCCCTCCACTCCCTCATGTGTAGTCCCCATAGAGTTTCCAAGAAAGGAATTCTTTTTACAGGAATTTTCAGGAACCAAAAACATCCAAGAGACAAAAAAACAAGGTGAACTCCTAAAATCCCCACTCAGAATAATGGAGCATATATTAGAAGAAAGGAGGTAAAGTCAGAAAGTGAGCAGAATATAGAAGATTAATAGACAGGAAATCAATTTAGAGAAAATGGGCCTCAGAACAAATAGCTCCTGTTCTAGAAAGGCAAACCACTGGTCACAAGATGGGCTGGATTAAGCGTGAGGAGCAGGACACAGGAAGCCAATCAACACCACGGGAAACAACTCGGAGAAGGCTTGCCTAGCACCAGGTCCACTTCTGCATGAAAAATGAAAAGGCATGGGGCCAATTAGATTAAAAACACAGCCAAGCCATTCTTAATCCCCTTTATCTTTACATCCAGAGTACTACCTATGCCCCAAGAACCACGCTTACGCAATGCCTCCCGTGGAACAGTGTGATATGTGCAGATTTTTCTTATTACAAGTCATCAGGGACCTCCCTGCCATAAAACCAAACTTATTTTTCCTATTGAATAAAAAGAAAATCCTATCGTCCTCTCCTGATGTGTCCATGGGACAGAGGAGGCTCTCAATCCGGGTGACATTATCTCATATTAGCCTGGACTTTCTTCTAGAGTATTTCTCAGTTTTCCCTCCCAGGGGACACGGAGCAATGTCTGCAAACATTTTTCCTTGGCGGGGGGAGGGGTAGGAGTGAAGTGCAAGAAGGTTATTGATGTCCATTCGGTACGGGCCAAGGATGATGTTGGGTGTCAAAGAATCTTCCAGAATGTCAAAAATGTCAAAGTG